GCAGCTTCAGATTCAGCAGGTCCAAGGTGGCGCCTGGTGCCACAGGAGCTGCTGGCGGGATCACACCATGAGGGGCAAGACTACAGTGCAAGTGACCTCTACCCACAAGCGAGGGACACTTGGCTGTTAGAAACAGTGCTGCAGGAAACAGGCTTGAATATCTGAAAGCAGTCCTAGAGAACAGGCTTTGGAGTCAGAAGACACAGTGTTGAACTCCGACCCTGACACTAACCATGTGACCTTAAGCAGGTCACAACCTTTCTGAGTGGCCAGTGACTCCCTCCTCCCCCAGCAATTCAGTAAGTGGTCACAAAGGCCTCCACTCTCTTAGACCCCAGGGATAGAGATAAACAATCGCTGTCCTTGAGTGCTCTGAGTAATACTACTAATCCTGGCCCGAAGAGCAGTGGGGGAGGAGGGAGTCAACAAGATAAGGATGGAAAAGGGCTTTGTCAGTGGTCCAGCCATCCACAAAAGGGCAGTTCTATTCCAGCTGGAAGGCTGAGTGGGTTTGCCAGGTGAGAGTGGCTAGACAGGGTTTTCTTGAGCTGAAAAGTACTCTGTGACATTTGTCTGCACTTCAGAAAAGCAAACCAGACTCACATAAATCTTCCAAGGAAGTCAAAGCCAGATGGGATTGAGGAAGAGGGCCCAGTCATCGGCAAACTTTTTTTTTTTTTTTTTGGTGATTCCACCGAGACTGCAGTGGGGTCTGGGGCGGTGAGTGTCACCTTGGGCTGGGAAATCCAAGGCCCTCAGCAGACCCTGACTCCTGCTCCTGCCAAATGAATCCCACACAGGTGTCCCGTGGATAGCGGCCACTGTCTTCAGTGCTTTGCCATCGCTGGGCAAACTGTGCCCCTGGCAGTGGCGCTTAGAGACTCAGAACTGGCCTCTGGAGTTGGTTAGTCCAGGGTCTGCATCCAGATTCTGACACCTGATTCCCAAGGGACTCTGAGCAAGTGACCTGACTTCTTCTTCTTCTTCTTTTCAGCCTCAGTTTCCCTACTTGTAAAATGGGGCTGATAATAATAGCATCAAACTCAGAGTGTTCTTGAGAAGATTAAAAAATTAACCCCCAGGGCTTCCCTGGTGGTTCAGTGGTGAAGAATCGGCCTGCCAAAGCAAGGGACACAGGTTTGATCCCCAATCCGGGAAGATCCCACATGCCGAGAAGCCGCTATGCCCATCAGCCACAACTATTGAGCCTGGGCTCCAGAGCCTGGGAGCTCCACCCACTGGGCCCATGTGCAGCAATTACTGAAACCCACACACACAGAGCCTGTGCTCTGCAACGAGAGAAACCACCACACTGGGAAGCTACCGCCAAGAGAGGTTCACGCACTGCAACCAGAGAGTAAGCCCCAGCTTTCTGCAACTAGAGAAAAGCCCGTGCAGCAACAAAGACTGAACACAGCACCCCCCCCCAAAAAGTATTAGTAGTGATAAGAATGGTATTAAAAACAAAAATAAAAAACCTTCCCAGACATGATGCTTAGCTCAGTACCTGGCACTAGGAAGTGGCCAATTACTACAGCTGGAGGATCAGAGATAAAATCACAATCACGTAGCCCGTTGAGTGGCTCCAGTAAAGAATGGCTTTCATGAACACTGCTCTGCCCATTCTGAGCTCTATCTTAGCCAGTGGGTCAGTGAGAGAGTCGGGGTACCTTTTCGCAGCAACCTGCCTCCTAGCAGCCCCCACCTAATCTCAAAATCTCAGGGCAGGGCTGCCTGCTGGGGCCCCTGGGCCTGCAAAACACCTCTGCCTTTTGCCACCCCTTTGGAGGAAGGCCAGCTCTCCTAACACCCCTCCGCCACCCTCCCCACCAGAGTAGGCTTCCTCTTAGCACCCCACCCACGTGGTCCCAGGAGCTCTGCAGATGGGGCTGGCAGAGGAAGGTGAACCCTCCCACTTCTCAGGGAGCTCCTGAGAGAACCAGCTCCTCTTCCTCTAGTGGGTGGAGACAGAGCAAATATTCTCGGTTATATTTTGCTTCTCTCTCTTTCTGGCAGGGTGTGGACACTGGTGTAAAATTACAACTGAGAAGGCCCCCACCCTAGGGGGAAAGGTGCATCTGGTGAGAACGGAAATTCACTTTGTAAGTCCTGGTTCTTCATCTCTGTTCCCTTTGGAAAGTGGGCTTCTAAACCTGGAACTTTCGGACTTCACTGTTTGATGTCTGTGACAATAATAGCAGTATCGGCCCTCTCAGCTGACATGTACACGCTGAGTGTTATACACGTAGTTTCTCATTTGTCAGAAATTCCTAGAAGGTACACTGTTAATGTAGGTTACAGTAAAGTAATAAAATCAGCATTGCTGCAGGTCCTTGCTCTTAATCATGACTACTGTATTATCTTTCTTAGCCCTTCCTTAGAATCTAGTTTCTGTCACTCTGTGACCTTAAGTATCTGACTACTCCTCTCAACCTCAGTTTCCTTACCTGTAAAATGGAGATAATAACAACATCTTCTGGAGTTGCTGTGATAATTAAATGAGAATATCAGCACTTAAGAAGCAGAAGTTTCCATTATTATTACTATTACTACTATTCTTATTATTTCTACTATTTTTTGTTAAATGAAAGCCTTGTCGACAAAACTGGAACGCATTGGTGAAAAGGCTCCGTGCAGAAATGCCTGCCCTCTTCTTTTATCAAATACTGATGAAGAGCCCTTTGAAGACCTTGTGTGCTTCCTCTGCTTGTCACCAAAGCCACTGATGACCCTCCTCCACCATGGCTATGGAGACCCTTCACTCCGCATAAACTGCTCCCTTGGGTGTCTCCTGATGGGAAGTGGAGAATCACCAGACTCATCCTAAAACAGGGGTATCTCAGCTCAGAGTGAGGTGGACTAGATATTTATATGCAGAACTTAGTTATCTGTGTCAAGACCTGGTGAAAACAGACATATCTCCTGAGAAAGCAGAACCTTAGAACATTATCAGCTGCTGAGTGAAGTGAGTTGATCACATTAGCTCTGGTCTCACCTAGCAGGGAGGAGGTCCCCTTGGGAGTGAGACACTGGCTGATAAGTTTTGATGGATGCCTTTGGGTGGAAGAAAGCTTGAGAAGCCTTGCACATGGGTAGGCAAGGTTACCCACAGTGCCTTGAGAGAATCTGCTGCTCAGGTTGTGTAGATAAAGACAAGGTCCAGGCTGGGAACAGCATGGCTTTGAGGCATAGTACAGACTTTGGCGTTAGACCCAGGTTCAAGTCCAGCTTTGTCCAGTCCTTATCAGCTGACCTCCAGCAAATTTCTTCACTTAATCACAAAGAAGAGGAATGATTCTTCCAATAGTTACTGATCCTAACAATGGGCCTGAGCCAGGGCCAGGGCCAGGTAATATCTTCTCTTCCTCAAGGCTCTTTTGAGCTTTTCCAGTGAGTGAGGCAATCTATCTGAAGAAAGTGCTTCCCCTTGTACACAAATGACCTGTTACATAACGCCACAACCACACATCTGCGGGCTCCTCCCAGAGTTGGAAGCCCTTGACGTCTATCCGTCCTGCCCAACCTCTATTCCCAACTGGGTCCTTAAAAGAATTAGATGTGACTATGGAGAACCAGAGAGAAGACAGCATGAGAAAGACTCCGCATGATGTTGCTGGCTTTGAAGACAGAGAAAGCAGCCCCCGCCAAGGAATTTGGGAAGCTTCTAGAAGCTGGAAAAGGCAAAGAAATGAGTTCTTCCCTAAAGCCTCCAGAAAGGAATGGATCCTGCCAATATGTTGATTTTAGCTCAGTGAGCCCTCCGAGGGACTCTAAACTACAGAAAAGCAAGATAACAATGTGAGTGTGTGTGTGTTTTTAAAGGCAAAGTTTTGGTAATTTGTCATAGCAACGTTAAGGAACTAATATACATGACAAATTATGGTTCATTTCTATCACCACCATTAGGGTGTTTGTGATAGTTGATTTATACTTTTTTCTCCTATTAGTCTATGAACTCCTCAAGGTTAAATTATAAGTTTGTCTTATTTACCATTTGTTGGCAGGTGTTAAGAAGGCTGAAAGGCCTTCAGTTAGTAGGCAGTCAATAAATACTACTAACAATAATACTATAATTCATATGTGTTCAGTTAATACGAGAAGGAAAATGTCCATTTCAGGGACTTCCCTGGTCACGGTGGATAAGAATTCGCCTTCCAGTGCAGGCAACAAATTTCCATCCCTGGTTCGGGACCTAAGATCCCACATTCTAGCTGGCAACTAAAGCCAGCGCGCCCCAACTACTGAGCCTGTGCTCTGGAGCCTGAGTGCGCCAAAGAAAGATCCCGCATGACGCACCTGAGACCCGAGGCGGCCAAATAAATTTATTTTTTTTTAATGTCCATTTCCTTCACGACGCTCCCAGTGCCTAACACGGAGCCTGTGGACTGTGTTAGTCGCTCAGTCGTGTCCGACTCTGTGCACCCATGGACTGTAACCAACCAGGCTTCTCTGTCCATGGAATTCTCCCGGCAAGAATACTGGAGTGGATTGCCATGCCCTTCTCCAGAGGGACTTCCCAACCCAGGGATCGAACCCTGGCCTCTTGCCTGGCAGGCAGATTCTTTACCGTTTGAGCTACAGGGAAGTCCTTAACACAGTCTAGCACACAGCAATAGCTCAATGAAAGGTCTTACGGAAGCTTATTGAACCTCAGGTGGATGAAATACCCCTCCCCGCAACCCCATGCCACCGTCCCTGATCATTCTGTCCAGGTTCCTACCTCTACACGTCCCCTCACTCTGGAAGCGGGTGACCTTCTTGAGAAGCCGGACATCTCCCGCCTAGCCTCCTTTCACCGAGGCTGTGAGCACAGCGCGCGGGGACCCCAGAGGACTTGGGAGTTCGCGGGCCGCAATGCCCGCTTCGAGCGGCAGGGGGCGGGCGTGGCCCGGGAGCGCCCTCCTGAGGGTTGGGACGGGGCGGGGCTTCAGGGGCGGGCCGGCTCAGTGCGCAGGCGCGGGGCCAGACGCCTCGCGCGGCCACGGGCAGGCGGGCGCAGAGCAGCCCCAGCTGCGGCTTCGGTAGCAGCGAGTTCGAGCCCCGCTCCCGCTCCGCTTTGGTTTTTCGCTCCCCGCGGCCCTTGGGCCTCCCTACGCCAGTCTCCGGCAGCTTGCTGCGCATAGCGCTCTCCCCGCCGCCAGAATGCCGGTAACCGAGAAGGACCTGGCGGAGGACGCGCCCTGGAAGAAGATCCAGCAGAACACCTTCACGCGTTGGTGCAACGAGCACCTTAAGTGCGTGAACAAGCGCATAGGGAACCTGCAGACCGACCTGAGCGACGGGCTGCGGCTCATCGCGCTCCTGGAGGTGCTCAGCCAGAAGCACATGTACCGCAAGTACCACCAGCGGCCCACCTTCCGCCAGATGCAGCTGGAGAACGTGTCCGTGGCGCTCGAGTTCTTGGACCGCGAGAGCATCAAGCTCGTGTCCATCGGTGAGTGCCCCGGCCCGGCCGGTACCCCTCGCCCTCCAGCCTCCACCGCGCTTGCGCCCCTGTGGAGGCTGAAGCTCCCGGTGGGGTGCCCCACCGCCACCACCGCGCCCAGCAGCCGCGGGCTCCGTGTGGGCTCCGGCACCGGGGGACATTGTCCCCCGAGGGCGCGAGGACAAAGGGGACCTAGGCCCCCTCGGGAGGTCCATCCTCCGGGGCGCTCTCCTCGTGTGCTCGCTCCCTGCTGTGCGCCGGGGCTGTGCGCCTGTTGGGGGCGGTGGGTTGAAGGTTCGGATTGAGGCCGCACGGGGAGAGTCGGGGCTGTGGCGTTTCTCTGCAGCTGGGGTGTCGCTGCGGGAGCTGGGGTGTCGCAGCGGGAGCCGGGGGAGTGGAAGCCTCAGGTCCGCGGTCCCTGGGGGGTGGAGCCCTCGTCCGGCGCTCCCCGGAGCGCTCGCCCCGCTGCGCCCCGCGGCCGCCGAATGGGCGTTGGCTGGGAGGCCAGGTGGAGAGGCCCCGGGAGGGACTGTTCTCTGAATCCGGGGCCTCCCGCCCAGGTGGAGATGGGGACCTGGCTGTCGCCGGAAGGGGTGTGGGCCCCGAGGTGGGAAGGGGAGACGCGGGGGTGTGTCTTCCTCGCTCCCAGCTCAGCTCTGGCCGCGAGGCCGCCGCCGAAGGTGTCATTCGGCGATGGGTGGCGGTCACGGTAGCCACTGCCTGGTGGGAGCCCCAGCTAGTGCGCGCTGGGTGCCAGCCGCCTTCCCAGTCACCTCCCTCCTCGCGCAGCCTGCGAGCTGGGGCGAAAAAGGGCCCCCGGTGAGGCTGCTGGGACGTTCTCCTGCCTAAAACTGGCTTCCGAGGCTGAGTCTCCCGTCCTCTCCGCCGCCCTCCCCACACCTGTCGAGGCAGGTAGGGCTGCTTCCTGGGCCGCCGCCCATCGGCCTCCCCATCAAGGGTGGCGGCCCTGCCGAAGCCGTGTGACCTGCTGTCGCCTTTGGGGCGCCCATCTCCTGTAAGGAGAAAAGGAGAACCTCAGTCTCTCTGGGAATTATTTCCTTTTCAGATTCCTCAGACCCCTCTGAGGAATCTCAAAGGCCGGCTGGGCTCAACATGGATCCCTTCTTCTTTGCTTTGGAAATGTGTCTTTACTTAATTAACTGAACAAAGAAACTTAAAGTAAACCAGAAGTGTCCGAACAGGACATGAAATCTCTTTAAAAAAAAAAACAACAACCAACCAAACCACAGTACTAGAAAATCCTGGACTGCCGAGTTTGCCAACTGTTTACAGAGGCTGAAGCTGCCTCCAGCATGGTCTTCCATCAGTGCCCCCAAATTGAGGGTCTTATTCTAGACTTTGTCTGGCCCCGTACATTTTTCTCCTTAACCCTCATGATTTTCATTCCTGAACCCAGCCAGACCATAGCGACTCCTACCGTCCTGACATTCCAGGGTTAGCTTTCCCTTCCCTGGTTGTGGCCTGTGGACTTTGGCAGTTTCTTGCTATGGACCTCTTCCCACCACAGTTTACATTGTGTTATTTTCTCCTTTTAAATAATTTCTTGGATCATATTCCCCAGAGTGGGATTCCTGGGTCAAAGGCTGTGGTCACATTTATGACTCCTGTCATTGGCTGCCTAGTTGGTCTCCAGAAAGATCTTACAGCAAACAGGTTTTCCAGACTCTGGAGCCTGGAGGCAGAGTTGCCAAGGGCTGGGACTCCCTGAGGCGGTAATGCCTGAGGCCTCTTCCCTCTGCTGCTGGGACTGTGCAGGGTAAAGGCCCTTCAGAAAAAAACTCACATCCTGCGAGGACTTCAGTTCAAGCTTTCCCGGCTTATGCTGTGTTGCGTTGTGCTGACGATGACAGATGAGCTCCAACTTGGGACACAGGCTCGGTGTTGAGTGTGTTCTGTTGATGACCCCGCTGATCACCACCTTGAATCCTTGAGATCTGGTTTCCTTGTCTATGTAATGATCTCCCCTCCACTTCCCAGTCCAGGCCAAGTGCTTAGGAAATGGTTGTTGTTATTACTGGGGTTGGTGGTTAATATCATTGTCCTCAGTCGTGTCAGTCGAGTCCGACTCTTTGTGACCCTATGGACTCTAGGCTGCTACTGTGACGCTATGGACTGTACTGCCGCCAGGCTCCTCTGTCCATGGGATTCTCCAGGCAAGAATACTGGAGTGGGTTGCCATACCGTCCTCCAGGGGATCTTCCTGACCCAGGGATTGAACCTGTGTCTCTTATGTCTCCTGCATTGGCAGGTGGGTTCAAATGGCAACCCTCTCCAGTACTCTTGCCTGGAAAATTCCATGGAGGGAGGAGCCTGGTAGGCTACAGTCCATGGGGTCACAAAGAGTCAAACACAGCTGAGCGACGTCATTTTTCACTTTTCTTTACCACTAGCACCACCTGGGAAGCCAGTTAGTATCATTACCTCTATTTAAAGCTGGGGAAACGGGAGTGAAGTAACTTCTTGTGCAGATCACCCAGCTGGTGAATGTTGGCTGGAACCTAGGTCTGCCAAATTGTTGAACTTGAATGCTTAACTGACCTATTTTTCAGGGTCAGAAACAAGTAAAATACAGCCCCATTGTCCCACCAGAGAGCTCATGTGAACACAAAGTTTTGTAAATCTGGGGTGTAGGGGTTTTGGTTGGACATCCATACATTGAGCCTCTGACCTCGAACAAAGTGAGGCCTTAGGTGAGGGATGAGATTAATCCTCTAAACTGTGAAGAGGGTCCATGAGATGAGTGTCATGTCAGGAGTGAGCAGAATCAGTTTGCATCTTTGCTTGCTTGTTTGTTTTGGGGTTTTTGCTTTTCTCTTTCCTTCCCTTCTCTTTCCTTTGTTCTGTGCTGTTGTGTCTGACTGAGCACCCCCATTGTCTGTAGCCCGCCAGGCTCCTCTGTCCATGGAAGTTTTCAGGCAAAGATATTGGAGTGGGTTGCCATTGCCTTCTCTAGGGGAGTCTTCCCAATCCAGGGATCAAACCCTCATCTCTTACATCTCTTGCATTGGCAGGCGTTTCATTTACCACTAGCACCAGTGGGAAAGCCCGAGTTTGCAACTTATATCTTGTTTTGAGGTGAATTTGTTGAGGGAATAGCTGCCCTGTCTTCAGTGGTTTTGTTGTTCATTTGTTTGTTGGAGATTCCTACTACCAATGGGAGAAATTTCACTCCTGTAATCTGGGAAAGTATCTATGCAGGGTTTTGTATACTTTGGATAGCTCCCAACAACATACATTGTGGGAATCATTAGAGTTGGCTATAGGCGCCAGTTGTGTGACATAGGTGGTCAGATGCTGAGAGCAGTGTGGCTTTTCTGCCTAGAATTCGTTGGTTGTTTGTTTATGTTTGTGATTCCTTGTAGGGTGGGCCCATCCTCGGCTTCATCCCAAAGTTGAGGTTCCTTCTCATACCCTGGGCAGTTCACAATGAGGCCTCAGCGTATTTAATTCCAGTTGTCTGCCAGGAGCTGGCAGGTTTATTGACTTGCTTTTCTGGCCCTGGGCAGTGCAGCCAACTTGGAGAAGAAGGGGTCTCCCAACCCAGGAATGACAATCAGGGCAGCCTAGAAATTTGGGTGGTGTGTTTTGGTTTGATCCTTTATATAAAGGAATTCTTTTTAATGGATGTGGTCTGACCCTGATGTTTGCTTAAAGTGCCTGTGCCAGGCCAGCACCCCAGAATAGGCGGGGTGCATGTTCCTAAGACCTCTGGTCACTGGGCAGAGTTTCCAGGGTGGTATATCACTCACTCCGTTTTCTTTCCTTTCGTCCCACTCCCACCAAAATAATGTACAAATAATACTAAATTCTGCTCTGTCCTGTAAGTACTTAGCAAATACCAGTGTGTCTTTCAGGCAGTGCAGTTCACATCTAGAAAGAAAAAGAAAGTGTTAGTCACTCAGTCATGTCTGGCTCATTGCGACCCCATGGACTGTAGCCTGCCAGGCTCCTCTGGTCTGTGGGATTTCCTAGGCAAGAACGCTGGAATGGGTTGCCATTTCTTTCTCCCAGGGATTGAACCCAGGTCTTCTGCATTGCAGGTAGATTCTTTACCATGTGAGTCACTAGTTCACATCTAGGAAAGGCTTAAAAAGCAGCAAGATAGCAGGCTTCCTGAGAAGTTTCTGGGTCACTTGTAACAACGTAACACATTAGTGTCAGTTTGTTAAGAGCTAGGATTCTTGGTTCAAATCCTACTTGCCACTAAGTAGCTATTAAGAAACTTCTGTGCTTTGGTTTGCTTATAGCTTAAATGGGGTAATAGCTACTCCTTAAAAGGTTGTTGTAAAAACTGAACAAGTTAATATTTTTTAAAGTGCTCAGAACAGTTCATGGCAGATGAACTGTTGGGGCTGTGTGTTTGGTTAAATAAATAAAGTGCTGTCCAATAATATTCTCAAAAGTCACACTGGAGAGTTTGCACGCTGAAAGGACATTTAAAATGGACACCATGCTGGGGAGACCAGCTCGGTTGGCTAATGGCGATTCCTGTTGCTCTAATAGGGTTATGGATTGCCCAGAGGGTGTCCCCTCCTTCGCAGGGGGTGACCTCTGGTTGTGTTATGATTTTTTGCCTCCAGGACCCATTCATTCCAGCTTTGTTTCTGAGAGCTGGACAGGAGTTTGGAGTGGCTGGTCATTCCAGTCTCTCACCCGTTCAGGAATCTCAGGGCCAAATCATTTCCAGATGGTACTTAGACGTCTGCAAGCTCCTCCAGCAATGGTGGGGCCAGCATGCCAGTCAGCAGCTGCCTTCTTTCTTGGAGAGTCTATGCTGAAGGAGAGCTTTGATTTGGAGCCAAATTATGTCCCTGGGCACTCCCTCTTCACCCCCCACCCGGGGAGGGGGTCCTGATTCTGTGCTGTGAAGCCGTATCATGGGTTAGTCAAGGATGGCTGCCTTGCTCCTTGGGCAGCAGCTGCTCAGGTCGGAGCCTTGGGGCCCTGCTTGCATGGGCTCCGTGGCCAGGGTACTGCATCACCCTGCT